CTGCTGAAATCCATCTCTTCAGCGGCTTCTTGCAGCAATGAGTTCCAAAGGGGAGTAAGATATTTTTGAGAAATAATTTCCTTGTTTTCACTCTCCCTTTCAATTTTTGTTGAATTTTCCCAGGGTTTACTGGTAAGGAGATTTAGAACGATTTTCTCTAAATACCTGAAGATTTTTCCACTTCATGAAAGCTTTAAATCACACTTAAAGAAGTGGTTTAGAAGAGGGATGCCCTGCTTTCAGGATCACACTCCAGAAACCAGTTCCCCATGATAATCGGTTTCTACTTCAAGATTACAGATCTCTGTATTAGCCCGTACTAAACAGCAAGCTTCAGCCACCAGCATGATTTTGCCAGGGAAACTGCTATTTTAGGGTTAATGCACAGGAAATATAATACGACAGAACCTGTTTCTCTGAACGTTACATTGCAATGTTGGGATTCCTGCATGCTTTAGCTTTTTACATTCTTAAAGAGAAATCTGTCAAAATGATGGACACATGAGTTGATCATTAGCAAAGGCATTTTAATAGCAATACTCATTTTCAGACATCCAACTCCAGGTTGACATGTCTAATCAACGTTGCACAGCAGCGATCTCGTTATACATAACGAGAGGTAAGAGGGGGTCCCCACTGATAATTTTAGCTACTGAATAACTTTCAGCGAGGCAGTTGCTATGCAGCTGTACATGGGAGCATGCATCAAACACAAACTAATACATGGCTGTGTAAGAAGATCAATCTGGATCTATGGAGAAATTAAGTTGATTCATTAACTTTAAAACTGGTTTGCAAAAGGAGAAGCTTCTGGCAGACTTATCTGTTACAGCTTTTAATGGGGTGCTTCAGCTGCTAAAAATATAGCAACTTCTGATTCTCATGCAATCTTAACCCAGGAACATGGACAAGCCCAAATTCACAGAGGGTTTTGGGTGCCATGATTTTGATCACTGCAATGTCTAGTTTTTGTGTTACCTGTAAGAAAATCCAGTGATAGGGACTCTCTCAAAGCAAAGTCACCCTTTTTTTCTGACAGGTAGCTGCAGAAGAAGCAGAGAGATGTTGAGCTCCTCCTCTCTGCTCTGGAGGTCAGGGTGCTCCTGGATCACTGAATGTCAGAAGATGAGATTTAGGGTCAAACCTTTGATACCAGTAAACACATGTGTAACTAGGCAAGCAGTGGATCTGCCTTTGTTGCAGGCTTTTGTGGCCCATCACCTTGCAGACTGAGAGGGGAGCTGAGCGTTCCAGGAGCACCCCCATGTCCCATCGCCCGCAGGTCCCCCCTGTGCCCGATGCACAGCAGCCCCCACCCCATCTTGCAAAGCAGTAGCTGCTTGATAGCATCGCCCCAGACAGGCAGGACGAAAGGCAAGATGCAAGGAATGTGGCTTAATTAAGCCACCACTTTATTAAGTTAGCTTATCTGGCAGCTATCAGCAGTAACTCATCCAGTGTGGACCACATTTTTTTTCCCATAATTGTTTCCACCTGGAGCAGAGCTGCCATTGCCCCCAGCCCACCTCCTGCTCTGCACCGGGACACTGCGGCCGGCAGTGGTGCCGGAGAGAGCCGGGTACGCTGAACCAAGAAAATACTTCTGTGTGAGAGGGAAGGGAATGCTTCAGGGTCCTACAGCTGCTGAAATGATTTGGAAATGCAAACAATAACAGGATAAACATTTAGAGTGATAATTAACCTGTATCTGTCTGCAGTAACACAGCGGCAACATGGGCTGTGACAACGGCTGGCTTGGAGCTGCTTGATGCATTATTGAGGTTTTGGTTAACATCAGCAAAGAGGCAACTTTAAAACTCTATCATGACAATTATGTTGAAAAAGATACGTGATGACCATTTAGTGATTGAAAAAAGGGAAGGCAAAGGGGAAATGCAAAGGGAGGGGAAAAAGAAAAGTTTTATACTGGTTTCAGATGAACATAACACGTTAAGGAAACTCTTGCTAAAGATGTCAAAATTTGAAACAGAAGAGTCTGCTTTAGGAAATATTTGCCTCCTAGGAGCAACGCAGACACAGAAATCCCTATGCTGAGTCAGAAAGTGAGTTCTTAGGATAAAATATTACCCTTATTTTATCCCTACAATGCTGGGTTCACACAGTCAGCCAGCCTCCAGGATGGCTCCACCCAGACAGAGGTAATTCAAGCAGAGGGACTTTACCTCCCATTCATTGGGGCGAGGAGCACACACATGGACAGTTTCTATAGCTCAGCGGATGCCTGAGGTCACTTCACTGGAAGATGCAGCAACTCCATAGGTGGTCAGGCAGGTCAAATCCCCCCTCTCTGACACGCTATTTCTGACCCATGAATGTCAGAAGAGTTGCACTTTAGGGGGCATAAGAGCTGCTTAACATTTTATGTATGTTTAGATATACCAACACTGTTCTCCCAGGTTGGTGCTGGTAGAAAGCAATGATAATACAGCTGAGCGAATGTATTTAATCAAAAAAACAATTTCCTATAGTGAAAAGATAGAAAAAATATTTTTTAACCAGATTTTTTTCAGACAACGTCATAACATGAGCTCAGAGGAACTTGTGCTGTATCTTGAAGACCTGAGTCAGCAAAAGCCATGACACGGCTGTGTTTAATTGCACAAAGGGGTCTTTGTTAGATTGCCTCCTTATTGTGCCTGCCCAGTGTTTCTTTTCGATCACCCTCACTTTGAGAAATACACAGTGCAGCAAAAATGCAAATATAAAATGTAGCAATTAACTTACAAAAAATAATTAAACAGCTATAAAAGCAAGCCAACAAGGTACATTTAAAAAACCCCAACACTTGTTTTTCTCATATTCTATATAAAATCCAAATGAGGGACAGGTCTGTCTGCCAAAGCATGCACAGACAAAGCCCATCTGCAGCACAAGTGTATTAAGGAAGCAGCTCGGTAGCTGTGCACAGTTTCACTGTAATTC